CCGGCGCAGCCGTCTCGTGACATCGCTGCTTAGGGCCTACGGCCTCAGACCAGCACGTCCCTCCTGTCTGGGGAGCAGCACGAGGCCGTCAGGAGCACCCGTGCACCCTGCCAGCAGCGCACCATGCCTCTCTTCGGGAACACCTTCAGTCCGAAGAAGACTCCCCCCAGGAAATGCTCCTCTCTCTCCAACCTGCACTTGGTGAGTCCCGGCACCTGCGGCTTGCGTGAGGCAACGCTGCCGGGGGTGGGTGGATCCTGCTGTCAGTGCCGTAACCCTTACAAGAGCTCCCAACTGGGCCACTTTCCTACTGCAGTGCGGCACCATTTCTGGTGGCCAGTGACCAGATAACAAACGTAAAAATGGAATAGCTCAGGGTAGGATTCTTACCACCTCACCCACAGCCCAGAACTGCTTCACCTGAAACTTCTCTCTGATGGTGTCTAAGCCCAGGGAGATGAGTGTATAGGCAGGAGAAAGTGCAGGCACAATAGCAAGAGGAGCCAGTCCTCTACTGCAGCAGAACATGACTAAAGTAGGGTTTCAGGCTCCAGGGCTGGTTGGACCAGCAGCTTCCATTGCAATGCCAGTCGCAAAGAAATGGGAGAACAGGCTGGCTTTGGATTTCTGTAAAATGCTGAGTGTCATCTTCTCTCCACAGCTGGATAGATCGACCCGTGAGATTGAGCTGGGCCTGGAGTACGGCATCCCCACCATGAACCTTGCTGGCCAGAGCCTCAAGTTTGAAAATGGCCAGTGGGTGGCAGGTAGAGTGCAGCTCAGCTTGCTTTGATCTGAAGTAGCCATGGTTGGCTGACAATCTGTATTTTGACCTCTTTCTTTCCTCCCAGAATCAGGAAGCTTCACGGGGGATCGCAGGGAAATGCAGCGCTTGCGCAAACGAAACCAGCAGCTAGAGGAAGAAAACAACCTCCTTCGGCTGAAAGTGGATATTCTGCTGGACATGGTGAGTCTTTGCCCAACTGTCACCTGCCCGCAGCAGCGGAAATGCCCAAGCAAAGGGTGCTGGGACCACCAAAGGAGGCTGTTCTCACTGCTCTTTCCGCTTTACCCTGCTACACAAGACAACTGTAACGGCAGTGTGAGAGTAAAGTCTGGTCTCACTTTACTGAAAGTGAGAGAAGAAGAGGGGAAGGTTCCCCCGCAGCAGAGCTTGACTTTAGCAAGCGCTGTGGCTGGATTAGACAGGAGCCCCTGCAAGTGCCATGTCTCCGCTTTCCCTTTCTGCGTGGAGTACGGCATTTTTCTTCCCAACCTGACCTCTGCCCTAACTGTGGAAACGGAGTTAGAGCCACCCTTTCTGGTCACAGAAGATTAAAGTTTCCATCTGCTGTGACAAGTGGTGTGACATCTGATCTGTGTGTAAACCTATGGATGAAAGAATTCCCAAGCCCTAAATAAACTGGAATTCAACCTTACCCAGAGATGACAGCTTTCATGCTTAAAATCTGGAGACGTTTTCAGGGAAGGAGAATACGTGCGTATTCTCAGTCTGTTGAGTGATTCAGCCTTTACGTCAGTCTGAACAAACACTTAACTCCTTCGTCATGTTCCCTCCTCATGCTCTTCCTGTGTCTCAAAACCTGCAAGCAGCTTTTGTGGCTGGAGCACTCAGCAGAAGGCCCAGCTGCTTTGCAGGTTTTCCAGGAGATCTCAGTGAAGTGTGAAACCTCAGCTTCCCTCTTGCTCAAACGGGAACAAATTCCCTCACGCGGGTGCTGGCCTGTGGCTGTAAATCTCAGTGATACCTGTGGAAAGGTGATGCTGTGAAATCGGCAAAGCTTCCAAGGCACAAATGTCTTTCTGTGTGTGCTGCTACAACATGAGGTGCTTCTCCAGAGGGAGAGCAGTCTCTGATCCCTCTAAGGGGCTTTAATGTCCTGCCACACGTATCCGAGGTACGCCATGGACTGCGAGATTGCAGATCCAGTGTTAGCCCTGCAGCTGTAGTGCAGATTGGAGGAGTAGCTCACTCTTGTCGTTGTTCGCTCTGTGTTGCAGCTCTCCGAGACCACAGCCGAGTCCCACCTCATGGAGAAGGAGCTGGAGGAACTGAAGAACCACAGCCGGAGAAGGAAGTGAAGAAGAGGTGGCTGGAGGACTGGGGGGCTCGGAGGCTGGCTCTGAGTCTTGGCTGCCCCTGCGTGTGGGATGCAGGGGCTGGCCCGAGCCTCCTCGCTACATTGGTACTGTGTGTAGGTACTTTGTTCTGCAGGACCGCAAGTAACAGGGAGCCTCCGGTGTTGCGTGGTGCCGTAGGTGCCATGTCACGGCTGGTTGGGCACCCCAACAAGTCACACCGCGACGCTGTTAATTAACACTCGCTTTTTTTCTCACTGCACTTTACCCCGCTATGTTTCCTCACCGCAGCCCAGCAGTAGGTACCCTCTTTCCTAAGGCAGCCCGACGACAGGCAGTGGAGAAGATCCACCTCCGGGTGGGCCCCACGCTGCCTGCTGTGCTTAAAAACACAGGGAGACTCCCCCCACCCGCAAATCCGTTCCCTCGGGAGAACCTGCAAGGCTTTTGTCGGCTTCACTGCTGCCTTTGGCGAGCTGGATGCTGGAGTCGCTCGTTCTCAAGGGTTTTGCATACTTTACATAAAAATTTACGTTTAAAACCAGATCCTACGGGTGTTTGTTATGTA